CACCACTAACATCTCCATCTCAACCACCTCTACCACCACCTCCACCATCATCACCTCCACCAGCAGCACTCTCTCCTCCACCACCACCTCTACTATCACCCCTACCATCATCTCCATCACCACCACCTCAGTCATCGCCTCTACCATCATCTCCACCTTAGCTGGCATCTCCACGTCCACCCCCAGCTCCATTTCCATCACTACCACCATCTCCACCTCCATTTCCTCCTCCACTACCCCCATCACCACGACCACCTCCTCCATCTCCATCTCCACCACCACAAAGCAATTGCTAAAATGAATGAGGACATCATTTCCTTTAGTTTCTCCTTGGAAGGCAGAGAAATACTACCTGAAATTCCCCTAGAAAGCTTTTATCTGATAAAGCCTATAGGAAGTCTTATTCTTCAAATGCATCATGAGTGTATTATTATATCCTAAATGAAAGTCATCCAAATCTGGCTAAAATATCCGGCACTATTTCTTAGATGCACCCTTTGACATGTCACTGTAGCTAATCCGGATAAATACTTACTATGAGTTGGAAGTTTTATGGTTTTGAGTGTACTTTAAAGTTTTATGGCTTAGGAAAGTTCAGTTATCTAATATTCAGCTATCAGTGCAATTTATATTTTATAGGGCTTTATGCCAATACTAACAAGAACACACTGGTTGGTAATCATATATTCATTGCAAAACAATCCATCATTTCCATGGGAATAAAAATCTTAGAAACACAATGGCTTTCACTAAAGTGCAAATTCTTTAAGAGCGAGGTACCGATGAGGAACTCATAGTTGCTGGAAATACTGGTGAGAGATTAAAAGGAATGTATGAAATGAAACTGGCATGCAAGTTCATACACCAGAGTCCCATTAAGCTTTTGGCTCATCTCCCAATATTCTACAAATGTTCAGCGACATCTTCCACAAAACATCCTGAAATCATTTATGGCCTTTCCAGGCAGCTAAAAAAGACAGTTCCATCTGTATCTTCTCAAACACAGAAGGAGGGAGTACACAAGACACCCTGAGAGCCCTGCGTCTTTCCTAGGAGAGGCTGGTATAATGAAAGCAGAGTTCAAATCAAATATTCAAACATATATTTATTCCTCCCCCACCTCAATACATACATATTATATATATATATTATATATATAAAATATATATATGTGTGTATATATACACACACACACATACACATACATATACCCGAAAAGCACCCTTAGTGTTTTTGAACACTTGAAATCCTAACATTATCAACCCCTATAACTGATCATTATCTCCCTTTTTTCTCTGCCCCCTAACCAGAAAGCCAAAGAGCCTGGGACCCTATGAAGACTCCTGGCACGTTCAGCCCTAAAACGGCCCAAGGCCTTCACAAGTTCATCAGGTGTCTATTTGCCATTGGAAACTAGGTGAAGTGTGTGGTGAGAGGTGCTGATCCACATCTCCTTCCTCCTGTACCTCAACTTCCTGCATCTCTGATGGAATCGACTAATTCTTTCTCAGACAGCAAGAATGGGAGAAGTTTAAAGAGATTTCTCTCCATTTGACCTTTATAGTAGACAAGCAAAAGTTTACCTCAAGGCATTTTACCACTAGAGTACCAAACTGAATTTATTCTACTGTTCTTTTTGTGGTAATCACCAATCCCAAGAGAACACAAAAAGAACAAATAAAATAATATTAAAACCAATATGTTTCTTTTTTCTTTTTTTAAACCAATATGTTTCAACAACAGGAAAAAAAAAGCATACACAGCCACGATAAACTTGTCCCACAGCACATTCCCAAGCTTCAAATGAACGTACCTTAAGGACAATTTTATTATCTGAGGTTGGCGTCCTCCCCACCCACAGTGCAAATTTGCAAGGATCTCCTTCAACGTGTTCTGTGACACCCAACTCTGAGGTCTGGATAAAAAGGTAATTACATAATTAGATGACATTAAGATTCCAGCAAGATACAGAACAAAGACCAAGAAAACAGTTTTTGGTGACTTGTGGTCATGCCAGGTTATAACAACATAGTTTGTTTACATTAATGGGTAATCCTCAGATCTTATTTCAGTAAAAATGAGAAAGTTTTGTTCTTAGGCCACCATGATTGATTGTATCCCTTTTACTTCCTCTATGTACCTCTACTGGAGATCCTGATGAGGGTCAACCAGATCCAGAGGAAGGAAACCAAAATATCTAAAAATCCTGTTATCTGGAAAATCAAGAGTTGACCATTTTCAACTCATAAACAACAAAATGAATCTTAGTTGCAAAGGAGCTGCCACCATGCATTTTTAGCATGAATGAAGTAGCTTCGCAGAAGGCACATAATGTCTTCACAGTTGTTTTTTTCTGATTTGTTCACCAGAGCATTAAATTTCAGTATTTCACCAATAATTTTAAGGGCTAAGACAAAATTTCTCTCTGTGACATGTGCAGTTGTAATGGGAGCACGTGGAAGAGCGTAGGTGAAGGTCAACATCTTCAGTCCCTCCCCCACAGTCAAGTTCACCCCTAGTGTGTTCTCCCCCCTCCAGCAAAGGAAGTGATTCATAATCGTGGCCTCTGAGGGAACCTTAACTTTTAAAAGATAAATTAAATGAAGATGTATCAGCTTCTAAAACAGACTAGCTTGGTCTCTGAGGATAGATTAAAGCCAGCTAGTGAAATTACTAGCCAGCAATGCTCCATTTTTTCTTTCCAGTTACAATATGATCTAAAATGATGTAAGGTGGACCGTGAGCCAAAAGACAATCTCAAACAGGATATAAGCCAAAGAAAATGGTATGAAAATCATTAGTTTGAACTTGCAAATTCCAGATTATAAAAAGATGATTTCTACATTGGTAGTATTTTATTACTTTGGGAACTTGATTAATATATGGATACCATAAAAATACATAATGTAGATGTTGTCCAAATTCCAAATATCTACCAATATTTATAAGCAATCCATCATATCTTGTGTAAAGAAGAAACCAAATTCCATTACATTTTCTGTTCTTTCTCTGTTGGTGATTTTTAATTAGTTTTCCCAATCCTCCCCCTGCCTGTCCCTGCCCAGAGGTTCTGTGTTGACAGCCCCTGAGATACTCCCACAAGGGGAACACAGAAATACAGCAGACCCTGAGGAGGACACCTGCCTGAGACTTCTCTGAGAGTCAACATGTGGTTTTATAAAGAGACTCCTTGGACTTGCTTCTTGCGGGGGGAAAAAAGGCATCAGGCATGTTCTTTTGCCAGAAAGTATACTCACAAGTTAAGAAAGAATTCAAATGCAACATAGTATCCACCCAGCACTCAAGGTTAGTGAGTGCTCTTAGTACAGATGGGGGACTGTGGATCTTTAAAACTATTTTTGTTTGTATATATTTTCTCTAATAACCGTATTTTGTTATTGTAAAGAACCACAAATTTACTTATTTATTTTCTACACATTTATCTTTATTGAAAGAAAAATCCACACCTCATCATTAAGAGCCCACAGTGAGCCACCCTGGAAGGCTGCTTAACGTATATTCCAATGTTGGTGAAAGAAAAATTAATTAGAATGATACAAAAACTTAATCGTAGTCTCATATGATCAATTTATTTGTAAAGTTGGTTAGGGCACGCAAGAGATAAATTTAAATTCACTTGAAAAGTGTTTCCCCATCCTCAGAGTCTATGGAATTTAGAAAAAGCAGGTTTTCTAAGTCTAGAGAAGCTAAAACCCATGGGCTCCCTCTAGTGGACTCGAGACCGCCAGAGATATTTACTGTGGAGGATGAAAACCTTTTTGATTCCAGAGCTCCACATTTTAGGACAGTTTGGGAGGTTACACTGAAAGCAATAGTAATTCTTTTCTACCTGCAAGAAGACTGCAAGTGTGTTACCTTTAAATTTACAATTCTGAACGTCTATACTTACAAACAATTTGCTTTTATAAAGGTACTTGCTTCTGCCACTGGAATCTTTCACTTCTTTACTAAATACTAAGGACATTTCAAAAAGGAAGAGATGCCGTTCTCGACCCTTTCGAATTAAGGTTTTTGGGTCCCACACTTGGAAGGATTCCTGCAGGATGAGTTCTCCCTGAGACTCAATATTTTCATCAAACCCTACAACATAAAAACAAGGAGGCACAATCAGTTTGAAAGAAAATAAAACATGATGCACGGGACAACACTGTGACGATTTAAACATTTGTTCATTGCCCATCAATTAAATCTCAGATTAGAGTTTCCTGTCTGGGCCCCTCTCCAGTTCCCCTGCACTGATCCCATCTGACAAAGGAGAATTCTTCCTAAAACGTGACTTTGCACATATTTTCCCTTGTTCAAAAAAAAGAAAAAAAAATGCAAAAAGCAGCGATTCCTCATGGCTTTAAACTTTCATCTCCTTAGGGTGGCACTCACAGCATTTGAGATTTGATGGAATCCCTACTTCTCCTCGGCCTGCACTCATGGCATTCCGTCACACAGACCTCCTCCCCCGTCCAGACTGGTGCATGGACCTCCCCCCAGGCCACTGCCTACTCCCAGCCTGCGTCCTGCCTCTTCAGCCCAGAACACCCCTCCTGGGCGTTCCACTGCAGTCCTGGCCTTTCCTCAAGTGTCTGGTCTGGCCTTCCTTGGTGAGGTCTCCTATCTTTGCAAAATTCTTCATGTGAACCAGTCATACTCTGGCCATGGGGTGGCTTTCACTCTGTTCGACTCTTCCCGGAAGTGGACCATGGCACGGACTTCCAGCGATCAGGCTTCACAAAGCGGTGGGATATCTGGGGCAAGGTCTGCTGGTTCTCTCTCGACTACCTCTCTCCTCCTCTTCTCCAGACAGAAGCTGCTTCTGTGGCCACCCAAGCTCAGGCCATATGGGGGAGTCTTGTGTTCAACTCCTAGTTCCTGCCCTTCCTCATGCTCTTTCCCCACTGTCTTCCTGCTAGATGGAATGCTACCATGGTCTTGACATATCCTGAACCCAGCCAAGCAGACAACATTTAAGCAGTGGAGACAAAGTACAGAGAACAGAGCCTGAGTCCTTGATGATGCCATGAAGGGCTGCCACACCAGCTCAGGGCCTCACATCAGAGAAAGAAAAAGCTATCTCACCTGGCCTCTGATTTTTGGGTCTCTACTGCAAACAGCATCACCTCTGCCCCAACCATTTATACTGCTCAATACTACTGATGATAAGAAAAAGCATTTGGGGCAGGATTACTTCTTGTACATAATTGTGTACCCTGATAATAAGAGTTAAGTTCTGTAACACAGGAAGAGCCTTTTTAAACAGAAGCATCCATGGAAATTTCATTTGCAAGAGAAATTTTTAATTTCGTTTCTCTCTCTTTATCACATTACATACCACCATGTTACACACCACCATGTTCAAGGCTCTTGCAAGTGATACAATGGACACAGATACGGGGAAACAACAAGCTTTTTAAAGGATTTTTAAAGTCACAGGGGACTCATCTTGCCTTCCTTGTATCCATCCATCTACCACGGACACCAGATTGCCTAAAGCAAGAGTCACGGGTGTTACTGGGGTTCTGAGTGTGGACAGCCTGTTCTCCAGTTAATGGACAAGGGCATGCTCTTAATGAGGTTGAAGCACTTTGTGATCCTTAGGGGAAGCAATGAAACCAGTTCTTTTAAAAAAGAAGGTACTTGGGGAGCTTGGGTGGTGCACTTGGTTAAGCATCTGACTCTTGATTTCGGCTCAGGTCGTGATCTTGGGGTCGTAAGATCGAAACCCGCATCAGGCTCCACACTCTGAGGGGAATATGTTGGAGGATTCTCTCTCTCCCTCTCCCTTCACCCCTCCTCTGCCTCGTGCCTGCACGCTCACTCTCTTCCTCTCTAAAATAAATAAATAAGTCTTAAAAAAAAAGAGAGAGGGCGCCTGGGTGGCTCAGTTGGTTAAGCGACTGCCTTCGGCTCAGGTCATGATCCTGGAGTCCCGGGATCGAGTCCCGCATCGGGTTCCCTGCTCTGCGGGGAGTCTGCTTCTCCCTCTGACCCTCCTCCCTCTCATGCTCTCTGTCTCTCATTCTCTCTCTCTCAAATAAATAAA